GGAAAGAAGCAGTTCTGACCCTTGATCATATAAAGGCAGTGGAGTGCCTAAGACTGTAAATAGAAAGGTGCTTACACAAATCAGGGGTTCTCTTTGAAGTTTGTCAGCTTTAATTAAAGGAAAGTACCTACTAGAAAATACATCAGACATTTACTGAGTAAATATAATTTGTTTGGAGCGTGGGTGATTGCTAGCACGTCAGTTCAAATTTCTTTAAACTCTACAGATAGTTTAGTAGTGTTGTGACTGGTCAGAAGGCATCATACTGAAGCCCTCATGAGCATAGGAAAAATATGCTAGACCTCTGAATGAGATGGGGGCATGTGTCTGAGAGTGTAACTGAGGTGATATTTCAGTTTGTGAGGGGAAACAAAATTTCTAACCTAGTCTTGGCACAGCAAAAAAGGGAAGGATCTCAAATGTTGCCTATCCTTGAACATTCCAGGCAGGAAACTTATGAAAGGTCTCTGGTAGTACAGAAGGTATTTTAGTATTTGATTTTTCTGTGCATTTTCTTTGTTCCATCTTCTGGTTTCTTTTTTGAGAAACCTTTTGGTAGGAAGTTTCTTCTGGGAGTTGCTTCTAAAAATGCAGCTAGTTACAGGTATACCTACTGCACGATTCAAGTTATAGAATTGTTTTCAGGAACTCTTGGATTTCAATAAGATTGTATCTCTTTAAACATGAGGTGGTGCTTCAGTAAATATGCAGTGCTGCAGTACAAAGCACAGATGTTCTCTGTGTGCCCAGATCACTCCTGTATGTGTTCTGGTTTTTGCATGACAGAACATGAAGAGCCTGTGAAGTCTGAGAGAAAGTCAGCAAAGGAGGAAAAAAAATAGGATGTTAATACTGCTTTGTTTCAAATGACGCTAATGCCCCTGGTATCCCCTGTGTCCCTCCCCCCTCCTCTTTTTTTTTCTCCCTTTTTTTTTTAACATTATAGAACATGAGAATTAATTTGATGCTGGAAAAACCTATTATGGTACTAAAAGGAGAAATACTGGTACACAAACCCTTTTTTTGGTCACTCCAGATTTGACATTTTAATATATTATTAAAATTACTATTGAAAACAAAATTAATATTTTAAAATATGTTATATATATTATTTTAAAATAATATAATAAATAATACATAATATTTTTTTAAATACAAAATGTATTTGCATTCCTATGGCCTGAGTTGAACTCTAAATGTTTAGTTCCATTATTATTTCATCTTTAAATTGCTTCTTCGTTTTCATCTTCAAATTGCTTCTTTGTTTTCATCTTCGGAAAACTCATTTAACACGGAATACGGAGCACTATTCTATATTGATTTAAGAGTTATGTGCAGGCTGTCGTATCAGTGTTAAAGTGGATGCCTGCAGTTTATCCGAACAAAGATAAGAGAGTTCAAAATGAAAAACACAGAAGCTATTTTTAGTTTTTAAAATATTTTTACATGTGCACACACACATATATAATTTTTATGTATATATAAGTTTCTGTAACTGTATGTAATGTGTATTACAAGTTTTATACATTTGCTGCTTACAGTTGTAAGAAGCTATTTTTCCTTTCTTCATTTAACAGGTCTAAATTAAACTTTATCATGCAAAGCCTTTAACTTGCATTGATGCTAGTCTTTCAGTCATCTGTTGTGTATTTTGGCTTTTGAAACTGTGTAATAGTTATGTTAAATATTTTCTTAAACTGTATTCTCAGTCAGAACAATTTTAGATGTATGTCTAAATCAAGATGGGATGATATGCTTAAACAAGCCCTTGTTTTAGCTGGTGTGTGTGTGTGTGTAAATCTGTCTGGTTTATAATGGGTCACCAATTGGGAAATAGAACTTTACAGGCCAATACATGGGTATTTCAAACTAATTTCCCTATAAAGAGAAAGGGGGTGAATAGAGATACCCTGGAAGTTCTACCAGAGGGTTTGCACGGTGTTACATTGAACATGTTCTGTATTTTCTCTTAGTCTATCTATTAATGTTGTATAAATTAATCTACTATGCTTCCAACCAACTGGTTCTGTCTGTGAAAAGTGGTTCTTTTTGGTTTTGTTGCTCATGATAAAGCAAGGAAGAAATCCCAATCATTACAGTTATTTTACTAAACAATGAAGTGCTAAGATATAATGTGGAGAATTGATGGCATATATGCTAATATGCTGAAATATAAAAAGACTTGGGTGATTTTAATTTCAGTTGTTCTATCTGAGCATTTAAGAATGGTTTGGTACTTCTAATCAAACAATAACTATTTAATTAAAACATTTCTTTTTAAAATCCAGACTAAAGTGCATTGTACTAATGGATGCCTCCAAAATATTCACAATTTCAATTTTTAATCTGGTACGTTCTTTCTTAATATTGCTTTATTAAACTTAATTCGTGGTGGTTTGAAAAACAATGTTCGTTTCCTTTTTGTATCCTACCCTGCTTTGCAAATTGATAATGTACCTGTTGTAGGGTTTTATGGTTTGCATGAATCAGATTTGGACAAAGTCTTTCAGCTGCCTACAACCACCTTCATAGGAGGAAATGAGAACAGTCTTTCTTTACGAGAGATCATCAAACGACTGGAGGTCAGTGGGATGTTTTTTGATTTGTGATTGTTTTCATCCAAACGCGAGTGAACTTTTTCCAGTTGTCAGTCACAAAAAAACCTCATCATTTGTCAATTATTAATAGAGCATATAAAGAATTCAAATGACATTAAAAATAACCAGTGTGCTGTTTCTAGAGATGGCAGCACCATTAGTTTCATTGCCTGGATATCTGAAATACATAGATTAAGGATGAGTATAAAAGAGGTGAATATGGTAGAATGCTAATTTGGTCCCTAGTTCTGTAAAGAGCTGATGTTGTTTAAAAGGAATAGAGCCTTCAGAACCTGTCTTTTAAGCGTCCTACCACAGGTAAAACACCTTTGCATACAGTACTCAGGACGTGCAGGGGTTGCTCACAGAGCCCTACCTTTAGTGAGACTTTTACCTGCGTAAAAATGCGAGGGTTGGGTACCAAATTCATGAAAGCCCAGCGGCAGCTTGTGGGTAGTGATGGCCCTTGCTTTCCATCCCCAGTCCTTTTTCTAGAGTTTCATTATCTGACAGGTGATATGGTTATGCCATGTGAAGTCATCAAAGCTAAAATAATTTAAAGCAAAACTATTTTAAAGAAATAAATATAATTGGAGGGGAACTCCAAATAGCAGAACAGCAAGTAGGAATGGTAATGAATTTGTAAACTAATGAGTTAATAAGTATTGGATATTCCCGATTGTGCTTTTTCCAGCATTTTGGAGTACTGAAGTTGTAGACATTTCTGTTGCATGGTAATGAAATCCATTGGAGTAAAAAGGGCTAGGGGTGAGGAAATATTTTAAAGGATGAAATACAGAACTGAGTTACAAGAATATAAAAATAAAAAAAATAATTATTGGGCATATAAGGGTTCATGGCTTTGACTTGTTGCAGGTGTGAGAGAATGTGCTGACTTGCATGTTTGACTATTATATCAGCTTAGCTGAAGAGTGGTAAGTTGTTAAGCCACAACAGCTCTGTTGTGCATTTGAGGTCTATATTTACTTTTTGGTTTTTGCACTTCTAGCATGACTGTGCAGCAGTTTTCAAGAGATAATCCTTAAAATCGTAATGTGCAAATAAATGGATAAAATCTATAGCAAAATCTAAAAGCCTCAAGGAACTGGTTTGTGTTAAAGAGAAATAACCCTCTGGTTTTCCTCTCCTCTCCAGAGCTTTGGAATTTTTTTTTAATTGAAGTTAACATTAAATTCCTTTTTAGAGGCAGTAGAGAGCACATACTATTTGTTCAGAGTGTTTTTTTTCTCAAATTAAACTCACAATAGGTCTTACTTCTGTTGACTTGTATTTTGGACACATTTTTCTGGTTAAATATTATTTTTAAGGTAAGAAAAAGAAAATTTACAAATGCAACAAGGAGATAAAATTTCTGAAGTGTCTTTGCATTGTTCCCTGTCCTTTCTCCACTCTCAGCTGCTTGGATTCTTTTTCGGATTTCCAGCCTTCTGAGACTTGACAGTTACCACATAATTTGCATGAGGCTTCATAGCTGTCTTCTCATTGTCTTTGTTACTTGATTTCAGGTGACATTTAAAAAAGACAGGGTAAATTTTGATAAATGACTTGAAATCTTTGTTGGTGCATCTAAAGAAAAGACTCTATTATGCCTGTAAGAACAGTAGCAAGTTAGGTAAAATAATGCCAGTCAGTTTAAGGCAGGTTTATTGGCCTACTTTGAATGTATCACCAAAGGAGAATCTTCCAGATTCAAAATTTTGAAATGTTACTTTGCAGAGAAAGCTTTCTGGCACTAAACTAGATTCAGTAAAATAATTTATTCACTTATAGGATTACTGTGGGGAAGATACAGTGGAAGAGGAAGAAGACCAGATAGCTTTCAGAAGAGTAATATGTACAGAAAATATAATTTTAAAATATATATTTGTTTCTTTATGGCCTATTAACTCCTAAAGCTTCTGTGTTGGTGTTTTCACATCCTAGAATACCTACTGCCAACACATTGGCTTGGAGTTTATGTTCATCAATGATGTGGAGCAGTGCCAGTGGATCCGGCAGAAGTTTGAGACGCCGGGAGTTATGAAGTTTACTAATGAGGAAAAAAGGACTTTGTTAGCAAGGCTGGTGCGCTCAATGAGGTACACTGGGGTGGTGCTGGGAAACTGCTTTATGACGGCTGGGTGTAAGCTGGTTCAGTCTGTAAACTGCTGAGGTGGAGGTGAAGAGTCTAAGTGAAATCTGGAGTACAGGTGGGTGTAGTTAATGTGGCTGTGATATCAAAGGAAAGCGTGTGCTGTGAGGTATGTCAGGGTCAGTGTAGTTACTTTTAGTATTCTATTTTCTTAAAAAGCAGGTTGTGTTCTGTAACGCTTGTGCAACCTTTAGTGGCATACCTGGCAATGTTTTCATTGGCTTGCGGAGATAAACTGGGAAAAAATTGTTTCAACAGACTACTAATATGCATCTGTGCTAAAGATTCGTAACCTGTTTCAGAAAACAGGTGTCAGAACAGCATTGGATACTGATCTTCTGCTATATTCTATCTACTGTGCGTCTTTCTAGTAGCACACGATCAAAGGAAGCAATCCTAACAGTCAGCTCAAGGAGAATTTTTAGGCAGGTGAAACATTGACATGAGCATTGTTTGGGATGCTAACAGTCTCTTTGGAGGGCTGTGCCAAGATGGGACTGGATTTGAGAGGCATAACGTGATTTCAAGTCCTGGTTTTGCCCCTTTTCCTTTTGAGGTATGCCAAGATGTGCTGTGACCTGGTAGCAGGAGTTCTGGTCTCTGCAATATATGAAAGCATGTTTGGAAACAGCTTATTGATTGCTCCCATTGTGGCTATCTGTATGGAAATACTGTGATCCCAGAGACTGAATTACCCTCTCACCCCTAGAACAAGACTGTCTTCTCAGGCACAAGATTTATTACAGTTCTTACAATCTGAAACAGTTTGCATATCCTTTGACAAACACAGGAGTTAAAGATTTAAAGACACATTTTCTGATTAGGCTTCTATGTTCAAAGACTTAAAAATGAAGTGCTCATTGGAGTTGTTGGAAGATATTTTTGCCAGGTTGTGTTTGCCAATATTATAGCAAGATGGTTTGTCTGGTTAAAAGTTTCATTTGAACAGAAATTAAAAAGTCACTTGATGGTCAAGTGAATATTGCACTTGAATATGTTTGTTTAACAAGCACTCAGTATGAACCATCTCCATTTATCTTGAGACAAGAATTTCTGCTTTTATTCCTGCCTGTCTGAGCTGCGGAAAGATCTGGGATTTCTAGTAGCATGAAGGAACCGAATGTTCATCTTCTGCCAAATTAATTGTGTGCTGAAAATAGAAGAAAAAAGCTTTACATAAATATCTATTTAGCTATCTCTAGCGTGTTTTTTTTTGTCTGAAAATGATCAAGAAAAAAGATCTGGTTTTGTGGAAAACTGGTTGTGCTCTTGAGATTTGTGGCTTTGTAAAGCAGATAGTCATCATTTTGCTTAAGAATACTGTTTTCAAAAATGTTCATTCCAAGTACTACATACTTCAGGTACTTGAAACTGAATTTTAAAGTAGGATTTCTCATCCCTTGTGGTGTTCACTGACAGGTTATTGAACAAAGGGTCATTTTTAACTCTTCCTTCTCTAAAATATTCATTGTATATCTTTGAGCTACTTTGTGTATGCATTAGTAAACATGTTAGACCCTGATTGTGTAGTCTGATCTTGGCATCTTCTTAAGCCTGTGCAGAGTCAAGCATTTCTAGATTATGCCTTCTGAGAGTACCCATCTTTCTTAAGACTTGCTCCTCACTGGGTACTGAAGACATGCAGTGACAGCGGATCAGCTGCCAGCCCTTGTGAACTCACAGTGGCATATGGGGGACTTGCAAGATGTGACACTGAAAAATCGTAGTTGTGCACACTTAGTGGCAGATTTGCCTCAAATAATGAATGTTCTGCTGGTCCAATACTGGCTTAACTTGCAGCTGCAAAGAGGAGGAAAACAGCATGTACAACCACCACTTTGATTTGCCCCGTAGGACTTGCTGTTCACATGGGACCCCACTTTCAGTTTATATAAACTGGCACAGCCCCACTGGCTTGCCTGAGGAATTCCGGCAGCATAGCTCAGCTGAGGGTCTGGCTTGTCGCTTAGATGCCTGAATTGTAAGGGTATTGATGGGTGAGTTAAGGAGAGTCTTTTGGCAACTCTTCATTTCACTGCTTTTAGGACTTCAATCTAAAAAGGTAAATGTCAGCATTTTAAGTAAGGAATAAGCTGAGTATTAATGGATTATGGCAGTGTTATGAATCAAGGCATTGCACAGATGATGTAACCAATACAGTTATTTTCATGAAGATGTATTTTCTTTGCCTTTTGTATCTCCAAGCTTTACAACATATAATCCTTTCAGCATTTGTTAAAAGGTACTTTTTAACCACTCATATTGCCTCTGGCCCAAATGCATTAAAGAATGAAAGAACATAGAGCTGTCAAGGATTGACATCTTTCTCCTGCTGCAGCTGAGGCAGATACCAGTGTCCTAGTTCTTGGCACGTTACCAACCGTTACATCACACAGTCTGAGGAGCCCTGCCGTTGAATAGGACCTATGAAATAGACGTGCTTTCAGCTGTATTTCTACAAGTTTTTAATAGTTACTTCCAGAAAATACAGGTTCTCTGTTATGTCTTCTTCAATCTGTGGAAGAGACTTCTTTGCTGTTACTCTGCCTTCCCAGTGGTCAGTATATATTTTGTATACATGGGAGAAGCAGAGTTCAACTTGGGAAGTGAATTTTGTCTGAGGTGGAGACTCTTCTTCCTGTCTGAATTGTTTCAAAATCCTGGTAAATACTTCTCAGGTGGAGGAGAAAAAAGACTTAATTCTCTCCTATGTCACCCTCCCTACATGTGACTTACTTCCAGAGGCCTAAAAACATGTATTCACAGATGTTTTAAAGCAGTGTAATGTAATTTTATTTGCTAAAAGATGTTTGACAATAAGTATTTTCTACATTATCTTAATACAAACGCTCTCTCTTGTTTTTTTTTGGGTTTCTTTTGGGCAAAGATTTGAAGACTTCCTTGCTCGCAAGTGGTCTTCCGAAAAGAGATTTGGTTTGGAAGGATGTGAAGTAATGATTCCTGCACTTAAGACCATCATTGATAAATCCAGTGAAATGGGAATTGAATATGTTATAATGGGGATGCCTCATAGGTAATGTCAATGGAAACCCCCCAACAAATGGGTTTATTGTCTTAAGTTTCGGGTTCTAGAATTTTATTAACGAAGTTGATATTAGAGAAGCTAGGGTAGCAAGAGCCAGTCATAGCAAGTAATGGGAACACAGAACTGTAACAGATACCTGTCAGTGAGAGGGTACAGGCTTCACAAGTAAATGCTAGCAAAACTCTCTTTGGTGTGCTTTGAAGCTGCAAGCAAATTTGGCAGCAGCCATGGTGTCTATCCCATTGTATAGATTCTAGAACTGAGAAAGCTTGGTGAGATAGTATCAAACTTAGTTTTGCAGTCTGCCTTAATTAATTATTAATGTCATCATGTTAAAACTGCTAGATGGCTACAAAATTCATTGCTCATACTTGGATAACTAGGCATTTTAAAATGTCTGTGGGAATGCATTGGAAGAACTTTGCAATGGGAGGAGAAGGGTAGAATGAAGGGTTTCAGGTTGAAAAGTTTGAGGTGAACTTCTTACTTGCACATTTCTGACAGAGACGGCTTGCTGATTTTATATGTTTTATGCTGTTAACTCTGTTATTACCATTTTTGGGACATAACTGTGTTTGGAATTTTCTTAGAGGTAGGCTGAATGTATTGGCGAATGTAATCCGAAAAGAGCTGGAGCAGATCTTCTGTCAGTTTGATCCCAAACTTGAAGCAGCTGATGAGGTAAGATGCTTCTTCAATAGATCTATATAGAGAGGTCAACATTCAAGGTAGTTTTTGGTCATGGTTATGATGAAAATAGTGTTATCAGCTGCTGAAATGCATTGTCTTTTCTAGTTTGAGGAATATGATTCGGTAAAATTTCTTAACAAATTTAAAGACTATACTGTACTTCTGACATGCAGAAGGTGTCTTAGGAATGACTGTAGATAAGTAAGTTCCAGCTCATTTGACTGAGTTCGTCATCTCTGAGCATCTTTCTTTGTTTCATATAAATGAAATGAGTATCAATATTCTGTGAATATTTATCCAATATTGAATAGTGACACTGAAATAATAAAATGGAACGCTGTTCCAATTTGAAATTATGGTGTCAAACCCATAGTGCATACTGATGTACAATTAGCTAGATGCATTTTTCAGACGGAAGCACAAAAATTTTAGGTGTAGTCAATCAGATGCAGCTGGTATGAATGACATTCCTGAATCGTGACTACATCTTGTATGTTAGGGATCTGGGGATGTAAAATATCATCTGGGAATGTACCATGAGAGGATCAACCGAGCAACAAACAAGAAAATCACTCTGTCCCTGATGGCTAACCCTTCTCACTTGGAAGCAGTTGATCCTGTTGTGCAAGGGAAGACAAAAGCTGAACAGTTTTATCGAGGGGATACAGCAGGGAAAAAGGTAAAGATTTTTTTAATAAAGTAACTCTTACTGGTAGTTTTTCATATTTATTTTTAATAAAAATAGTTTACCAGTAGTTTTGTGTTACAGAGTCTTCCTCTGTTTCTCCTTCACAAAAGGGATATATCACCTGTTGAACTAGATACGGTTTTTAACATGGTACCTCAAGGGTAACTTCAGGAAGTGGGCTTAAACTTTATTTCATTTGCAAACTGAGCAAAGGCAGCAGAATGCTGACAAGTCTATGGTTTAGTATAGAAATACTGTTCTGTTTTATTAACACTACAGAAATATGGAGCAGAGAAATCCTTCTAAGCAGCTTAAATTGCAGTTTTGCTTTCTAATATGTGTGTGGATATGTGTGTATAATCCTCCCTCTTAGGTTATGTCCATATTATTACATGGGGATGCTGCCTTTGCAGGACAAGGAGTGGTTTATGAGACGTTTCATCTTAGTGACCTCCCATCCTACACTACGAATGGCACTATTCACGTTGTGGTCAACAACCAGGTAACAAGTAGAGCATTTTCCAATCAATTTGTCTGCTGAATAGTTGCTAGTGTATTTCTTTTTATTCTTGTTTGTTATTAGCAAGGTGCATTGTCCCCTCTGTTTGCTAGAATGGTTAGGAGGTTCCTGAAAATGATCAGTATGTAGCAACTCTGAGTGGATAATATTTTATCACCTACACTTATTTCATTCAACTTATAACACTTAATCGGATTAGGTTTGCTTTGTTTTGTTTTTAAGGGAGCAAAAAGAATCTAGCTAGCCAAAATGAAAAGCTGATACTACTGCTGTGTAAATGACTGTTAAATGAAAACCTCAAGTGTTCAAAACAAAGTAGAGGGAAATGCCCACATTTTAGTGGAAGTTTCTGGAATTTTTAGATTGGCTTCACCACAGACCCCCGTATGGCCCGTTCATCTCCGTATCCTACTGATGTTGCTCGTGTGGTCAATGCTCCCATTTTTCACGTGAATGCTGATGACCCTGAAGCAGTGATGTATGTGTGCAGCGTAGCTGCAGAATGGCGAAACACATTCAATAAAGATGTGGTGGTTGATCTGGTAAGTCATGGTTTTCTTAACTTTTCAGTCTGTGTATTATGAACTACTCCCTTATTTTTCTGTGGCTTAGAAGACCCTGTCAAGAAACATATTTTAATTTTAATGGCCTTTAGTTTCTTCATTTAAAAAAACCCAAACAACTAACAGCCCCACAAGAATCCACAAATGTTTTTATACCATAAACCTCCTAAAATATTTGTAAAACTGTGAAATTGAAAGATTCCATTTTACATTTTTCCTTACCAATGGAAACAATCTTTCCCTTTGTAGGTTTGTTACCGTAGGAGAGGGCACAATGAAATGGATGAACCGATGTTCACCCAGCCTCTAATGTACAAGCAAATTCATAAGCAGGTGCCGGTGCTGAAGAAGTATGCTGACAAACTGATTGCAGATGGGACTGTAACGCTGCAGGAGTTTGAGGTACACGTCAGCAGAGTTAAAGGGAACTTAAGAAGCTGTCAGTAGGAAGACACAACTGTCTCTGTATGCTGTCTGCTTAAAAACCTTCCTTTCATTACTGTGATAAGTCTTCACCCTTCGACACTTTCTCATTCAATTTGGTTTGGATTTTCATGTAAAATAGATAGTATTGTTGTAACAAAAGGACTTAAAGTGTTGTGAAGTAATTAATACATATTATACAGAAGAAAATTTGCTTCAGTTCTGAGATTTGTAAAAGGTGATCAGATCTGAATGTTGGAGATGGAGGCATTGGTCAGCTGTTCTTCTTCATCTCTAGAATCTTGATTCAGCAGTAAAACAGTATTTGAATGCTCATAGGTATAACTGTAGCTTCATATTGATAACCTTGGAAGGCTTGTATCCAGCAATTATGCAATAAAATCAGTTTAACCTTTTTGTTTTCTTGCAATAATTCAACTGAGATAATGTGAAATATTCCAGAAGGATGAAGTGTAGAGTCTGGTGCCTGTATTAAGCTGGTTAGGTCTTTACCTTAATCTTTTTGAAAGTCAATGTGTAGACGGCAGATGCAACAAAGGACCTTCTGAGAAGGTGTGGCTAACTATGTAGTGACATAGCATTGCATATCAACAAAAAAGCAGTTTGTGCAGGTGCATTCTGTTACCCACAAGAATGATCACAGCTCATGCAGAACTGGCTATCCTGCACTGTTGTAAGAGTGTGCTGGTAGTGGCATGGGCTTTGGTGACTGGATCCAGGATCCTGGATAGATGTTTTACTGTACAGACTGAGCTCAACATTGCTGTTAATTACTTTTAAGATTAGCTAGCTCAGTAACTTGAGAATGGTTTTGGATTGAAACATAGATACTGTAGAGGCATTTGGCCTCTGCAGAATATGGCTTTGTATCTGTTGCCATTGATAGGTGTAGCCAGCAGATTCTTAGCTAAACTCTCTTAGCCAGACTAGTTTTCTAGGACGTTATTTTCTAGTCTTCAGTGGCTTCTGTATCCTGAAGTATGAGAGCTGCATAATGCTGATCTTAGAAGTATGACTGTAAATTATATTTGGTACTTCAGTTCTGTCTCATTCTAGAGCACTGCTTGCAACTTCGGGTCTTGGTACTCTCCTCTGTAACACCCGTCCAATAAACTGAGTAATTTGTTTAGAGTAATGTGGGTAAGCATGTTTCTAGAAGGCAATTTGATCCTAGATAAAATGAAATTGGTTTTTTGCATAATTGTAACTAATTTTTCTTCTGGAGTTAAATAACTGGTTTTATCTTCCTGATGGTAGGTGTCATCTGTAAGATACAAAGGTGTTAAGTTTATCCGTTCTAAAAAGAAAGTTTTTGTTCTACAGGAAGAAATTGCAAAGTATGATAGAATATGTGAAGAAGCATATACTAGATCTAAGGATAACAAGATACTACATATCAAGCACTGGCTTGATTCACCTTGGCCTGGTAAGAAGTCTCCTTTCACTTACCCTAGTGTTAATATTATTGTGCTTTTATTTTGAGTCCGTATTCTAGGACTGTTAAATGGTTTTTATCAGACAGTGTTCCTTTAAAATAAAATATGTGACCTTTGTTTTGCCCCTGTTAATAGTAAATAAAACATTCTGCCAAATGAACTTGAAAGGGGTGCTTCTTTCTTAAAAAACACGCAGAGTAAAGTGTGACTTTGAAAAAGACATCTTTTCAGTTTAGCAGAGAAGTGTTCTTCCTGTAATGTTAACTGTCTGTGCCTTCAGGAAGGAGGAGTATGTCTCATACTTTTTTTTTTTTTTTTTTTGAGGGATTGAGGTGCCATGTGCCTTTTATTGGCTGCCTGTGCCCACATAGTTGGACTTTGCAGGGAGTGAAAGCAGAAACAAAACAGATCAGTGCCTGTAAGATCAAGTTCTGTTGTCATGCAGACAATCAAAATGATTTTGTCTCCCAGTGAAAGGTGAAGAACTAGGTTCAGGCCACTGTTTAGGATGTACTTTAAGAGTTCTGAGTTTTTAAATAGATTGTAGGTAGTGTAGATATCTCAGAATCAGGCCTTGGACTTCTAACCAAATCTTTTACTTCCAGGATTCTTTAACGTGGATGGAGAACCCAAGAGCATGTCTTGTCCTCCAACTGGCATTTCAGAAGACCTGCTGACTCACATTGGCAACGTAGCTAGTTCAGTGCCAGTCAAAGACTTCAAAATACATGCAGGTCAGCTGGACTCTCTGTTTCTCCTAGTGGCTATGTTTCTTGCTCAGATTTTATATTTCTGCACACGAGTTGCTGTTGGGCCATTTCCCAAAGAGGAAAATGCCTGTGACTTTTATTTTAACTCTTCCACCCTATGGGCAAGGAGAATGTGACAGTTAAGGTCCTGCTGCTTGTTCTCAGCATAATGTTCTTTCCGTATCACACCACTTCTGTTCCCTACCTCATTAAAACAGATTTTCCTCTGAGGGAGGTAAAAGTCTCTTTGTAACATTAAGTTAATTCCTCCTTTTATTCTTCAAGTCCTTGTGGAAAATACTGCTTCTATGCAGCACGTTTGTGGGACTTACTGGGAAGCACTATTAATGCTTTTTTTAATGCTAAAACCAGTGGTAATTTGAGGTCCACTTAAGACACTCTTCTTGTAGTTAGATAACTTTCTACTCAGGCATATAGCTTGGTCTTTTCAGACCTGGCAACATTGCTGATATACTAAGAGCCTAATTTTAGTACAGCTGAAAGGACTCTGTGTGGGCAAATTCAGTTTTTCTTTCAACTTACCATTTAGCATTGATGATAGCACAAATCTAGTGTTTTCTCAAAAAGTCTTAGCTTTTGGTCTCAAGAGATTCAATTCTGAATTTGGCATCTATTACAGTAAGAAGTTAAATGTGCCTGTCTCATGGGGGAGTGCCTGGCACTGTGTCAAAGTTCTGAGTTAATTCTTTTACTCCTTGGTCAGGTTGAAGTCTAGCAGCTCTACAGGGAGCAATAACATGTTCATTCCAGGGGGAAACATGGAGACACTTTGTTTAGGAATCTTTTGTTGGCTGGTAGGGAATGTATTTAGGATCAGGAGAAAGCTTTTTTTTTTTTTCCCCCAGGTAAAATCTCTAGCTAATCTTTCTTCTCCAGAGTCATCCATCAAGGAATAAAGTGTCTCTGCTGTACATGTTCTATGTGTTTGTGTTCCTTTGGGACAATTAAACACCACTACAAGTAATGATGACAGGGCGTTCCCAGTTATCAATTGCAAACTTGTTGAGCAGATACAATTAATAGAAGAACTTTAAATCTCTTCTACACATTTGTGCACTTCGTTGTGACACTGATAAATTTGAAATTATAGTCATCCAATAAAACTTAATATTAGACATTCTAATTAAAAAGGTAAGACAGTCTCTCTTTAGTAACTTGATTAACCATTGACGCTAAGTAACACTTGCCAGTATATAAGATAGATTTATGGTTCAAACCAAACTTTGGTCTGCTAGATTTTTTATGCAGTTTAAAAGGCCATGAAAGAGAAAATTTTGGGAGAATTAAAAGGGGAAGAGCACCTTTGAAATACTTTGTCCTTCCACTAGAACGAAACAGCTTAATCTCTTGCAGTCTTTCAACAAACAATTGGAAGATTATTTTGTTTTATTAAATGTTTAGTATATTCTAAAGAGGAAATTTTCAAGATTTTTTTTACTTAAAATGCAATAATTTCAATGAAAGAATAGTTTTATGTAGAAAGGAAACGGCGATTTTTGTAAAAATGGGGAAGTAACAAAGGGAAGTATGGGAGAATAAACAAATGGGACAGCTTGCCAAAAACATCAGTGTAGATGTGAAAATAAGATGGTGTCAAGTGACACTGAATACACTAAGCTTATAACCTCAAAGCTGGAAGCACCCGTGTAGAGATTTGAAGTTTTATTCCCTTTAAAAGTCACAGTGTTGCCACTTGTGTTTTGGCTTACCAAGTTATAAAATCTTCACTGTAAAAAAACAAAAAAATACAAAAACAAAAAAAAACCAACCAAAAAAAACCAAAAACACAAAACAAAAAAACAGCTTTTGGTTACCAACCACAAATCCATTGGCAGCTGCTGCAATTTCCTATTTATATGATATCCATAGTATTCATAGTATTGATTAATCTGCCCTGTTTCTCTTTGTAACATCCCCAGAAGTCCAATAAGACAAATGCCAAGAAAAAATGAGAGAGAGAGAGAGAGAAGAAAAAATCACAAACCCAATAGCTGATGTTTTCAGTCTCTTATAAAACAGTACTTGGTGTTAGAGATGTGAAAATAAATCTTTAAGAAGTGTTTCACCAGGAGTCTCTTTAATGGTCCTCAGTAGTTTCTGACACAGCCAATCTTATTTTCTTCTTCTAGAGCAAGGTACGAACATTATGCAACCCTTTGCCTGGGAAACAAGTTGTTTTACTTTGTTAGCAGTTCAGTTCTAGAAGAACAATTTGTAGACACTATTAGGATCTGTGTTTAAGTTAGCCAGTGGGGAAGGAGAATGGTGAATGTAATGTGACTATAAAATATCTCTGAAGTAGATCCACTGATATCTGATCTTTATTCCAATGTAGGACTCTCTCGGATTTTGAGAGCCCGCTTAGAAATGACCAAGAACAGGGTTGTTGACTGGGCCTTAGCAGAGTACATGGCTTTTGGCTCTTTTCTGAAAGAAGGGATCCATGTCCGACTAAGTGGACAGGATGTGGAAAGGGGTACTTTTAGGTGAGTACCGAGATAACTGTTAAATGCTGTCCCATACTTAAAGAAACACCTTGACATTTTTTAAACAATATGGTCTTCTGCGGGGAAGGGGAAGTTGAAGCTATTCAGCATCAATCTGGATGTTATAGATTCTGGCAGTCAAGAATAATCAAATCTCCTGTGTATCTGTAAACAGCATTTTAAAGAATTGCATTTAAGGCAGAACAAATGTCCTTAGATACTTTCTTCCTTTTCTTGCTGAAAAGCAGAAATTATTTTTTTTTTTTCTGCTTTTTAACTAAAAATTCTACTACAATCCATCTAATTGCTGAGAAGTAAAAGAAGGGTATTTGCTGCTGCAGATTCTGAAGTCTTTTAAATACCATTCCAGTGGAGGCTGCTTGGAACGCGGGTATCCTGTGAACAAACACATTGCCAGTTGGCAAGGCTTTCTTAAGTGAAACAAGATCCTTCGTACCGAGACTTTTAATGACTATGGAGCATGAATGAATGCAGAATCTGATCACTTGGTAAAAATATATATGGTTCTGCTGCCTTACCTGATTCTCCATGGAGTGAAATGTTAATGATGTATTTAATTGAAGCCTTTGATGCGAAGCCCATTGCTGGGGGTGAATGAACTAGCAGCTGCACTGTGCTTCATTGTGAATGCTTGCAGAAAAGAGATAAATCTTGGTGCCTGTCTTCTCTGGTACAGTGCTCTGTTTCTGTGCTGAGCTTCATTTGGTATCCAGTCTTTTGGGCTTTCTTTTTGCTCCCATTCTTTTTTTGCTCCCATTCTTATGACAGTTTAACAAAATCCTTCAGACAAGACCTGAAAACAAAACTGAAAATGGGGAGATTTCTCCTCCTCCTCCCCCCCCCGCTGCCCTGATTTCTGATCCTCCTTGATTTCAGTACCACGGTTTTGTAAAGTGGTGAGCATCTCCTGGGAGAGGAACACATGTGTTCATTGTTTAGCAACCTACCCACCTATTTCAGGTGAGTGCTTAGTCATGTCTAGCACACGCCTATAGACTTGTCTTGAGAATACTGATTCTCTGTATTCCCAGTTCTCTCACTGGTGGAAGAGGATTTTCCAGAACTATCATCCAGATTTTCTTGATGTTTGTTTAAGATAAAAATAATTATTGTGCTCACAGCAATATAGGGAAAAAAGAAAAAAACGTGTTCAAATAAAAAGCTATTCAGACTGGCTAAGGTGAGCTATGGATTCCTGTGCCATCCGGATTTTATTATTCAGTCTTTTAGAAAAGGAGTAAAAAGGCATTCAGATAAATTCTTGTGAAGTTCAGGACTGAAGCTGGTACTGCAGATGTTTGAGTTATAGTAACCTGGTTCTCCTTTACCTGGTTTTGAGTTTGCCTGATGGGATCTACAAAATACTAGCCTATGGTGTGATTATGAATTTTTGCTATGAATGTGATAGGGTAGTTGACCAATAAAGGGTGAGATTAAAAAAGTGGCTTGGACCTGAGGAAGTCAGAGAATGTTCGACTACTCTATTAAACAGAAGAGAACACTGTAGAAATGTGTAAGACTGTTATACTGTATTCAGGCTCATTTCATCAGAGGAATAGGTAGAAAAGTTAATTTGTGGTACAAGCACATCTAAGAGAGACTGCAGTTCTCGGTAAAGCTGCTCTTTTTTTAGCTGTGGTTTGGTTTCTTTGTCATTTATAATAAAGGTGAGCAAATTCTCTAACAACTGAAGACATTTGCAAATGCTGGTGCATTTTTATTGGAAAAAACACATTGCAAACACATTAAAAGTATATGTCATTTTATCCTCTCTCTATTGAGAAGACACTTCTTCACCTCCCAAAATCCTTGAAGTACATAATGTCTCGGATCTCTGGGGCTAGTTGGAGAGGGGGCATCAGCTAGAATTTGGGACGAACTGAAGATACTGTGTTGCCATAATGAAAACATGATGGGAGTGCTTTCATTATTTTGGAGCTTCTGAAGTGCTGTCTAGAAAATAGTACTTTCTGTCAGTATTCAGTGTGACAACTTGCTTTCTCTCTGTTTCAGTATTCAACATTATCAATAGACAGAGGCTAGATAAAACTGCAGATAGAAGGACTGGGCCCCTTCTCATCTTGGAGACACTCTAGAGAAGGGAAGGGGGAGAGAGAGACTTGATTCTGTACTGGTGTGATGTCAGTAAACCTGATAATCGCACAACAGCAAAATCTGACTTGCATGTCTGTATTTCTGGCTGTCCATCTACGTTCGTTGTAATTGCCTTTTGCTGGGGAAACACAAAACTTCATGCTCAAGAAGCTTATCGCCTAGCTAGGCCTTCTATCTTCATCTGAATGACAAAAATAAAATGACAGTGGCAAAAATTCCTACCTAACAGCTGTCTGGTGTGTGTATTTTCCCCTATCTACCTACCTCCCTGTGCTGTTCTTCAAAGATTCTGTCTTCCTGGCCTTGTATTGTTGACTTCTAAATACATTTCAGAGCTCTTTTGCTAGCATTCATTATAGCAAAGGGAAGTACAAAAAGATTCAGTCTTTAGTTCAGTGTTGGCAGCTATACAACACGCAGCAGTTGTTACCAGTATAATAACTGTCCTTATGTTAGCAGTTGTAAAGCTGGACATATTGGTGTGATTCACTCAGTCTGCTCAGAGTTAATGGATGACAGTAATTACTTCAGTCATCTCTGTTTTGGTAGGGTTCCTTGGTGCCCCATTCTAATGCTGATTAATGGTGTTCTAGAGAGCTGTAAATGGTGCATGCGAGTGGAAATAGCAGGAAAGAGGATACAACTGCTTCAAGTCTTGGTGCTGAGATTAGATTAGATTAAATTTTTGCATAAAAGACAAACAACAGTTGTTTTAAGGAAAAGATTAATAGAATTTGCCAGGGAGGCAGAATGAAATGTTTTTAATGACAATTTTTTTCTTCTTTTCTTTTTTTTTTTTTTTTTTTGCTTTAATCGGTCTATTTCATAGCAACAACCTCCCCTCCCTCCCAGTTCTACTAGTGATGAGGTATTTTCAGTTTTCATGAGTGCTTGAGAACAAGCCTTCAGTGAAAGTCCTTATAGTGCAGCAGTTGTATTTAGACATGTGATTGTATCGCTAGATTTCAATGAAACCACGGTGTTGTGTAAAGCAAAGATAACTGTGTTGCTTGCATGCTTTCTAGAACATAGCCTTGATGGTTTATCTTTGAAAATAGCTCTGTTAAACCCCAAAGTTATTCTTAGCTAATAAATTTCTTCAACACCTATTTGCAGCCATCGTCATCATGTGCTTCATGATCAAGAAGTTGACAAGAGAACGTGTGTTCCCATGAATCACCTTTGGGAGCAGCAGGCCCCCTATACTGTGTGCAACAGCTCCCTTTCCGAATATGGTGTCTTAGGTATGTCTCGGGGTAACTATCCAACAGGTCTGCTTATGTTTTAATAGGTCTCAAACAAGATGTAGGAAGTGATGACTGCTAATTAAGAGGGATTTTTTTCTGATTTTGCTTTAATGTGGTTAAGCCTCCTGGCTACAAAGTTTTACTTTGTTACTTGAGTTTGCCAAGCCTCAAAGCAAACAAACAAAAGTCTCCTTTTGCTAGTGGCATTTAAAAATAAAAAACTGTTGTATTTTGACATTCTCGCATTCATAGCAGTTTTGTATCAGGTGGGAGCCAGGAATTGCAGAACAGGGGCCTAAAATCCAATCAAAATGCCTCAACTGATTCCCCCCACCTCACCCCCTGAAAAAAGTAGTTCTACTAAGAGATTCAATAAATTTACCCTGTTCATTGTAAGATTTGTCCCTTGTGGACTTCTTGTCTTGAAAGTTTTTTAAAAGCTCATTGTAGTATAAACTTTAAGCCAAACTCTTTTTTTCCTACAGTGTGCTATGATGGGTTTTGTTTTTAATTTAACATTTTAGTTTTAACATTTTAGCATACATTAAAAATGAGAGGGGAAAACTTCAACCGGGTGGTTAATTTAACATTTTAGTTTTAACATTTTAGCATACATTAAAAACGAGGGGGGAAAACTTCAAGCGGGTGGTTAGTTGGTTGGTTGGTTTTGTTTCGTTTTTTTGTTTTCTTTAATTTTTGAATGTGTTGCCTGCAGTATCAGGCATACGAATTTGCAAGTTTCAGTGTGCTTGCAGCGCAAAACTTCCTGCACTCTTCAAATGGTACGCCTGTTTGTTTAGGCTGCTTAGAGCATACTTGTACTTCAAAACCATAAACTGGGAGACTTAAGCAGCTTTAGGTGGAAAAGTCACAGAATATGCTAGCATTGGTCTCATTAGTATTCAACAGGAAATTACATAGTAATGATGGAAGGTGAATTTCAGAGTATAACGTAGCTATACGAGAAGCAGAGCTCAGCAAGAAAGAGAATGTGGAAAAAAGCTGTGAAACAGTTATATATGGAACAGGTATCAAAGCTCTCCCTCTCATGTTCTGGCATCTCTTAAACAAGCATCCCCACATTTTATAATTATGGGATTCAGTTGAAAGTATCCATCTGTTGTGGTTGATCTTGTCAATGCTGGAACATGCACCTAATGCTTTCTCAAAAGGGGAGAAACTGACAAGAAAATCAGGGATGCTTTGTAATACAGATATAAAAATCCATCCCAGCCTTATCTGAACTGCTATTCTGAATGGTGCTATTTCAGGAAAACAAATTCTTGTTAGTGGTGGTATTAATCATAGTGAATTATATTTTTCATACTGGACAGACGTTTTACCTTCAGCCACAGACAATGGATAACCTCACTCCGACATGATGAGGGTGGCAAGAGGAATGTGGAGCACAAAACAAATAAATCTAATAATTTATCAAAAATGTTATTGATTCTATGGATAAATAATGAAATATTGTTTCATATCCATTTTGGAGCTAGTGTGAAGGAAAAAGATGAAACATTGTAGTAGATAAAGATGGTAATTGGCAGCTGCTTGCTTCAGAGTTCCAGAAATACTTGATCACATAGTCATTTTTACCTATGTTGTGGTTTAACCCCAGCCAGCAACTAAGCACCACACAGCCCCTCGCTCACTCTCCCCCAGTGGGATTGGGGAGAGAATTGGAAGGGTAAAAGTGAGAAAACTCGTGGGTTGGGATAAAGACAGTTCAATAGGTAAAGCAAAAGCCACGCAAGCAAGCAAAGCAAAGCAAGGAATTCATTCACTACTTGCCATCGGCAGGCAGGTGTTCAGCCATCTCCCGGAAAGCAGGGCTCCATCACACGTAACGGTTACATGGGAAGACAAACGGCATCACTCTGAACGTCCCCCCCTTCCTTCTTCTTCCCCCAGCTTTCTATGCTGAGCATGACATCATATGGTATGGAATAGCCCTTTGGTCAGTTGGGGTCAGCTGTCCCAGCTGTGTCCTCTCCCAGCTTCTTGTGCTCCCCCAGCCTCCTCACTGGTGGGGTGGGGTGAGAAGCAGGAAAGGCCTTGACTCTGTGTAAGCACTGCTCAGCAGTAACGAAAACATCCCTGTGTTATCAACACTGTTTGCAGCACAAATCTAAACCATAGCCCCATACTAGCTACTATGAGGAAAATTAACTCTATCCCAGCCAAAACCAGCACAACATATGCTACATATTACCTATTGCTAATAATATTAAAATGGTATAAAACTGTAGAGTTGGAGCATGGGCACAAGAGCTGAGATTTTTTAGGTATTTTTGTTGGCTCTATGGCAGAATTGGTGTGAACAGAAGTTTGTATCTCCATAAGCTAAAATAGTAACGTGTAAATGTGAACTCTAAATAGGAGAGTGCAAAAGAGGATGTGTATAAACATAAGAAAATAATTGACATAGATAAAAAGCAAGATTTTAACTTCAGAGAATGATTTTGTTTGTTTCGAATTTCCTGTTGTTTCTCACAGTTTGGGCTGGGATTTCTTAACTTGAGCCTGTTTACAGTGGTGCTGTAAACTTTATGGGTGAGTCATAGGTTTCTGGTTTTGGTCTGGGGTTTTTTGGGTTTTTTTGTTTGTTTGGTTGGGGTTTTTTTACATTCAAATAACGTATCGAAATGTGAAAGTGACAAATGTCTGGATATGATTAAAATCTGCTTTTGTTCCAAAAATTACACCTCAGTAGGTCTAAGGAAGCCTAGTGTTGATATGGTGTGAAGGGCAATTCTTATTGCCACAAGTCTGTTCTTTAAAGAATGAACCAAGTGGGCCCTCATTCTTTCTCTTTCTCGATCTCATCCTACTCTTCCCCCTTCCTCAGCAGCAGAAATGTGAAAGTTGATTTAATAACTTTAATTGAATACAAACAATAGGGCAAATTATGTGTTTGTTCATGCAGTGAAAACAAGAGTACCATTTCTGTGCAATTCTGCTTGAGCAGATGTGATGACAGGTTCTTCAAAACTAACAATATTGATATTTTTAATTGTTAAGAACTTTAAATCCCTCATGTCCGAGATGTTTTCTAACAGTCAAGGAGATTAAATTGATAAAAATAGTTGATGAGCGATGATTTTTTTTTTTTTTTAACTAAGAATGCCATGTTTCTATGTTGAAGTGATCTTATAATTAAGTTTCCTCTCCCTTGCTAGCTTTTACTTATCAGCCTTCTCCAACATGTTTACTCTTGCATTTTGTATCCATAGGGAGACAGTGTCGGGATAAGCAGCAGCGTGTGAAAACGTCTCTTCTAGTTAATGCATCTCAGTCAAAAGGGAACTATTAGAATTGTTACCTCTTTGGCTGGTAACATCACTGGGTCTCCTTTTTAGTACGTGGAAGAATAAGAGAACATTTGCAGTTTGAGGAGTTGATTCTTCAGGAGTAGCAAAACCCCCCCAACACTTCATTTTCTCTAACTGCTATTTCTACTATATAAGCCTGTTACAAGGAGCAGTTTGGGATTAGTGCCTTAAAGTATTTGGTGGGGGTGGGAGGGTTGTGAAAGGACATAAAGGGGGGAGGGGGGAAGGTGTTAGGAATTTAATTTATGACTGTGTTAACATGCAACATCTCGGAAGCATTTTTGGGAATTCCCTTAGTTTCTGTGAATTAGAGCGAAGTAAAAATGGATTGAACAGCCCAGCATGATAAAACTACAGATTATTTCCTTGGCAGCTACATAAGCCAAGAGCTGGCATCTGTTCAGAGCTGTGAGCTTCGCACCAAGTTATTGTTGAGCTGGTTAAGAACACCTGGGGTGTAACTGCTCCATTAAAATGATACTCTGACAAGATTGATTTCACGTAGAAATAAAACAAAGGCAGTCTGGTTAACCTGTAGTTCAAACAATTGCTTATGTTTTGTATACAGGAAGCTGTGGAGTGTGTGTACGGGGGCATTAAATCAGAATATTTAACAATCTCTGATAATTTTGTTTGACGTCCTGTGTCTACTATTTTTAGCTATATCCAGATAATTACAATTTAGTTGTGCATCCACTCATCTAGCTATAAATTTTCCGTGTTACTGAAACTGAATGTCTGGGAGTATATGTGACAGCTGTGTGAAGTCATTTAAGCAAAGAAGTTTGTCTGACTTTATTTGCTGATCGAGGTAGAGGAGAAAAGCAGAAGTAACTTACAGGCACTCCATGGCATTTTTGAAATACTTGAAAGGATCTCTTGTCTGTCTTTACTGCCCTCAGAATGACTTGTGTAGTGTTGATTCTCCACCCAGGAGGTGTGATTCTGTCAGGTTCAGTACTGGCTTTGAGAGGTCTTGGGCTGTAGCATCCTGTACCGGGAACTTCCAGGGAACAGCCAGGCAAGATAGACTTGGAACTAGTGCATAGTTCAGCAAATTCCTGAACGATGAGACCTGGAGTACAGCTTTTTCAAGGGGGAAGTTCATGTTTAAAGCAAAAGATGGAGGGAAGAGGACAGGTATTAATTTAAACTTTTTTTTGCAATACACTCCTAGGATGAAATATGTAGTATTACTACTCATTCAGAACAACATATTTTTAAGGTTCGGAGTAGCAAATACAATTACCTGTCAGAAATTGTGTTAGGAGATAGGACAGACTGTGGTAACCAAGGACCAGGTTCTCAATAGCATCTGCATGGAGCTCTAAGAAGGCATCAGTCTTTCTGTTCATCCACCACATGGGTATTAACTTCGCTTTCTCCTGGGCTGTGTTTGGGTTTGTGAAAGGATGCATGGCCCTCCGTTAGTCCCTGTGCTTAGATTTTCTGTTAAACATAACACAAATCTGTCTTTGTAACTTTCCTCATTCTGACATTAAATCCCTGCACTGGTAAGTCCTCTATAACCATTAGTTAACATTCATGCCTTAAGTCACTTTGAAATCATATTGAATTAAGCTATAGCCTTACTTACATTAATTGAAAAACTACAGTTCTTATGACAATCATGAAAAGTGCTGTGGGGAAAAACACAGTATA